CCTACCACCCTCATGCATGTATACAAATATCATTCTCCACTAAAAGGAACTAGAGTGAAGTTTGATTCTAAGTCTAGAAGAAAACTACATTAGTCGCAAACATAAATGTAGAAAGAATAATGCAATTAGACAAATCACCATTTTGCAACCTTTCCCCTCTTTCCATAATAACTGATTTAGGAGAAGATCATCAGAGGATACAAAAATAAATGGACAATAGGTTGCTGGGAAACTCCCCCTATCTCAAAAATATCATCCCATAAGTAATAAATGTAACCTGTCTTTATGATGCAACCTTAACATAACAGAGGATTATTTAATGATTTTAAACAGCAGAATTTAGTTTATTAAGGAACGTATTAAGACCTGATAGTCAGCAGAAAATCATGTTTTTGGTTTCTGCTGACTATCAACTCAAGTTAAAGTCCAAAAACATTAGCACAGAGCCCTACAAATTCCAGCCTCTGGATTATCTGATGGCATAAAAATCAATTGCATGGCAAATAAACGAAGTAAAAAGAGAAATAATAAACCAGAAAAGAATAGCAACTTTCATCATTTCCGACTACTAGACATAACATGAAATGCCCAAAAATAAAAAGAATAATTATCCTAAACAACATATTAACAAGTTGAAGTAAAAATTAATGTTCATGTACTTTAATCAAAATCGACAATGACAATGTGAGTTAACTTTAATCAAAATGACAATGTGAATGTTACTTTCTTTGCATTACTATTATTATTAATTGCTTAATACTTCGTTGCAGCAATCGTCTGACTTCTTTTCTGAATGTATTTATCTTCATTCATTCTTTACAAGGTTTTTGTTTCTAGTCCTTATCTTAAACATTGTTATTGTTGGTAAACTTTAAGCCTTTTTAATTCTGTGAAGGCAAAAAGTGGAAACCTAATAATCACATGTATATGTAAAAATAAAAACAATAAAAATAAAAATTATTATCCCTTAGAAAAACAAAAATATAATCAAATGGTTCATATAAGGAAAAATGCAAATAAACTTTAAACAAAAATATGCTCAGCTTCATTTATGAGAAAATGAAAAGCACACAGAAATTTCATTCCTATCTACATGGCAACAATTCAAAATTCCTACACAATATTCTATGCCTGAAGCCATGGACAAATCATCACTCTCATAGATTGCTGACTGTACAACCTCCACAGAGAGGATCCCTCTGGAGAGGAATTCACCTTTGACCCAGCAATCTGGAAACCTGTAACAAAGACACACTGACAAAAATTAAAAGTTCTATGCCTAAAGATACTTGCTACAACACTATGTAATAGCAAAAGACTTAAAATAGCCAAATGGCTACCAATAAAGGTCTGATTGAAAAAACTACAGTACTTCTTGAAGAGCACAATGAAGCTATAAAATGAAGCAACAAAAACATACTGCCATGGAGTGACTGTCAAGATATAAATGGTAAGTACAGAAGATCGCGTCTGATACACTTCCCTTATATAAGAAACAGGGAAATGGGGGGGGGGGTGTCTCTATGTGTACAAGAGTATGCAGCATAAATATGCATATACTGAAATACATGTACACATACACAAACCTTCACAGACAGAGATCGCACACGTACAAACACACCAACACTACATATTTGGTATATTTGCTTACATTGTCAAAAGCAATCAACACAAGGAAACAAAACTAATTCTAAGATAAATGACCACTTATTTTAAAAAATGCAACTTTAAGGAGGGAAATGTGTTCTAAGTTAATAGATATTTAAAAGACTACCAATGAAATGTAATGAATATGGATACTGACTCAAAATTAACCAAGTATAAAAAAGACATTCTTGAGGCAACTAGAAAAAATTGAGCATATTCTGAGCATTTCTCTGGGTGTGATATGTATTATTATATATTTTTTTAAGTTTAGAACATTTTTTTCATAGAGATAGAAAGCATACATTTGTGTTTGACTTTTTTATTTCAAATTAATGAGGGTCCAAATTTTAGGTTACACTGTTCTCACTTTGAAGGTAAAGCTCAAGTTATAGTAGAGCCCTTCACCCACAAGATATGCTCAACAACCTCGCATGTGCACACGAGGTGAGATCCCACCAACTGCCCTCCATCCTCCCCTCCCCTCCATGCCTCTCCCCCTTGCCAGACTATATTTGCATTTTATCGTTCATGTACATGTGTAATTGTTTATATACTGGTTTCATATTAGAATTGAGTATATTGGATTATTTTTTTTCCATTCTTGAGAAACTTTATTAAGAAGAATGTATTTCAACTCCATCCAGGTAAACATAAAAGATGTAAAGTCTCCATCTTTTCTAGGGCTAAAAAGTACTCCATGGTATACATATGCCAGTTTGTTAATCCATTCATGGGTTAATGGGCATTTAGGTTGTTCTCACAACTTGGCAATTGTGAACTGAGGGGCAATAAACATTCTGGTATGAATGTCTTTGTGGTAAAATGTTTTTTGTTCAGTGGTTCTCAACCTTCCTAATGCTGCAGTGTATTTTCATTGTTAAAAAGGGGTCGTGACCCACAGGTTGAGAACCACTGTTCTAGGTAGATACTTAGTAATAGAATTGGTGGGATCAAATGGAAGGTCAACTTTATAGTTCATCATCTTTAATCATCAGAGAAATGCAAATGAAAACCACTCTGAGATATCACCTAACTCCAGTATGCTTAGCCCACATCACAAAGTCCCCAATCTGCAAATGCTGGCATGGATGCGGAAAGAAGGGAGCACGTCTACACTGCTGGTGGGATTGCAAACTAATATAACCTTGATGGAAAGAAGTATTCAGAATTCTTGGCTCGGCGCCTATAGCTCAACCGGCTAAGGC